GAGCCCAGCAGGTTGATGCTGGGGTGGCCATGAGTGTGCCACTGCACTCCAGCCTGGGCAACAGAGTGAGACTCCAACTCCAAAAAAAGAGGGGGTTAAAAAAAAAGCAAGAGCCTGACATTCTTGCTACACACACACACACACACACACACACACACACTCACTCACTCTCACTCACTCAGCCTGGCTGCAGGAGGGCCAGTGTCCTAGGACGAGGAAAAACCCTAAGGGCATCTCAATCCTCCCTCTGCTTCCAAACACTGAACTGAAACCACACTCAAAACACAACTCCAGGGAAGAGATTAATGATGCCCAGGCCCCTGTTGGCGTTTCTCAGCCAAGAGTTAATCGAAAATCACTGACCTCCTCTCTAAGGCCCCTGGCCTCCGACTTTATTGAGCACTGAGGCCTACAGAAGAGAAAAGCCAGCCCCCGACCCCAAAACTGAGTCCAGAGCCCCAGAGGAGGGAGTCCCGGACTCCCACCCAGGAGAGACACAGCGAACAGCCTTTGTGTCTGCCCCTCAGATCTGCCTGAGCCTTGGCCGCCTCCTCCGCCACCTGGCCCACTCCCCGCTGGGCTCGGTCACTCTGCTGGACTTCCGCCCTCGACAGTTTGTGCTGGTGGATGGGGAGCTAAAGGTGACGGACCTGGATGACGCGCGTGTGGAGGAGACGCCGTGCGCGAGCAGCGCTAACTGCATACTCGAGTTTCCAGCCAGGAACTTCACGCTGCCCTGCTCTGCCCAGGGCTGGTGCGAGGGCATGAATGAGAAGCGGAATCTCTACAATGCTTACAGGTGACCTCCATCCCCTACTCGGGAGAGTGGGCCCAGAGGAACAGGGCAAGGAGAGAGCCATCGTGGGGTCCAGGAGGCCAGCTGGGGCAGGGAGACTCAGCCTCGACCAATGGAGTTGCAGGGGTGGGAAAAGGTTTCCACCCAGACTGGAGGAGAACATTCAGGCTTCTGAGGGAAAGGCTAAAAATAGACAGCTCCAAGGAGAATCTGGGCTGGGAGGTGGCAGCTGGAGGCATCTTAAAATAGTATTGGACTCAGAGCCCAAGGCTGCTGGGACTGGCACTTCTCCTTCTCACCCTGATCGTTGACCTTGGAGAAGCACCAGCCACTGGGCTGCTCTGACACCGTCAGGGGAGGCTATGGGGCTGAGAGGTGGGCAAGTCCTGGGGAGGGTTGGGGAAGACAAATGGGATGAAGTTAGTTGTGGTCTTAGCATGTGCCCAGACCCGCTTGCCAAAACTGAGTAGATGCCATGGTCACCCTGGGGCTAGGCCTGCGGCGTCAGACTCACAGGCCATGTTGGGGTTCTCTCCCAGTTGGGGTGGAAGAAATGTGTCCCCACAGGCTGGCTCTCTGAGCCCTTGGCTTGTCTCTGCTGCAGGTTTTTCTTCACATACCTCCTGCCTCACAGCGCCCCGCCTTCACTACGGCCTCTGCTGGACAGCATTGTCAACGCCACAGGTGAGCTCTCCAGGGCCCATTTGCTTCCTGTCACCTGCCCCTCCCCTAGCAGGAGTAGGGACAAGAATGGCCCAGGATGGCACAGGGTACAGAAACCATCCTTTCCCAAGGTGACATTCTGCAGCAAACCCAGCCCACTGACTATCCGGGCCCAGCCCCCAGGACGAAGCAGCTGGCTGCCCGTTTTGGGGAGAAGGGGAGGCCCAGGCCTCCTGCCTTAGCCGCACTGTTCTCTGCAGGAGAGCTTGCCTGGGGGGTGGACGAGACCCTGGTCCAGCTGGAGAAGGTGTTTCACCTGTACCGAAGTGGGCAATATCTGCAGAACTCCACGACAAGCAGTGGCACTGGTGAGTGGCCCCCCCATGGGGACCCAGGGCCTGGGAGGTAGGGAGCTGGTGGGAAGGCGAGTGACCACCCCATTGGGCTAAGCGGCCCACCACCTCTGGGACACCCTCGTCTCCAAAGGCCACTCTAAGGACTCACGCAGAGTAATGCAGAGACCACCGATTCCCACCTCTGCTGAGCCAGAGGAACTATAATTCTGCCTGGAACTGGAGAATGGGCACTGGCACCCCTCCTCCGGATGGCTCCAAACCCCATCATGTACTGGCTGTGAGACTTTGAGCAAGTCACCCTTTGAGCCTCCCTTTCCTCACCTGTGAATTGGGTTCACTGTTACCCACCTCACCAGCTTCTTACGGGGATTACACACCAGGTGAAATGTGCGAAAGCAATTAGTGCAGTTCCTAGGACACAGCTGGAACACTATGCATGTTTGCGTCTCTTTCCTTCCTCTAGCCTCCTGGGGCTGGGAGGGCAACAGGAGACCAAAGGGGGTGTGCACTGAAACCAGCCGAGGAGCCCCAGGACAGGGGCTCCTGAGTAAGGGAATAGACTGTGGTCCCTCCGCTGAAGCCCCGGGGTTTGGCTGTGGTTGGCAGGGCGGTGAGGGGTGTGCAACCTCTGCATTCAAGGAGCCCTGGCCACTCTTAGGGGTGGGGGAGCCCTCGTTAGCCCTGTAAATAAAGTTTAACGAGGTGAACAATGGCTGGCTCTGTCCCTGAGGACGCAGTTTATGGAGCTATAAATCACAGCTAGCCCTGGACTTTGGTCTAGTCCCTGGTAGAAGAAGGAGGCAGGAGGGCGGGGTGGCCAGAGGCCCAGGGCTTCTGCGTTATCAGTCCAGAGTCAGGGCTCCCCAGGCCACGGGGAAAGACTGGGGCAGACAGGAGGCCTGCAGCTGAGTGGCTTCCTGACTGAGTGCTCAGAGCCTCAGAAGCTCTCTTTGTAGATGGAGGCCTCCGATTCGCTCTCCAGCCCCCTCCTCACGCTCACCATGGATTTCTTGCATTTTAGTCCATTTGCATGCGTCTTAACTTCAAAAATCCCTGGCTGCCTCCCCCACCCCAGGCCTATCCCAGGAGCTTGCCTAACCTCTCTCTCCCCAAGGCAGGAGAAAGTACAAGTAAACCCTTGCCACTCAAAGTGTGGTTGGCGGACCACACTGGAAGCTGGCTAGAAATGCCGATTCTCAGGTCCCACCCCAGACCTACTGAATCAGAATCTGAATTTTAGCAAGATTCCCTGACAATTCATGCACACATTGAAGTTTCAGAAGCCTGGCTCTTTCTAACTGCCTAAAATGTGCTGACCTTAGCAGTTAGCCTGAACAGCTGGTGGCTGTGTGTGTCTGTGCCATGCATTTCTCTGCCATCTTACTGCTTGGTTCTAGCTGCCAGAACCAACTACATGCCCTTAGATTTGGGAGGTGTCCGTCTCCTCAAAACCCAGTCTGTGTTTTGTCCAGATGGCACGATCTGCCCCGCTTCCACAGCAGTGATTGCCTTCATCTCCATGCTGGGGGACTGCACTGGGCCTCAGCTCTTACCTCAGAAGTCCCAGTGTTGTCACCTTTTTCAGAAAGCAGCCCCAGCCCTTGTCCCTGAGCATAGAGTTCTCCTTTCATTCCACCCCCTACCCACAGAGTACCGACAAATCCCAGATAGTACCATCCCCCAGGAAGACTACCGCTGCTGGCCATCCTACCACCACAGCAGCTGCCTCCTCTCAGTGTTCAACCTGGCTGAGGCCGTGGACGTCTGTGAGAGGCACACCCAGTGCCGGGCCTTTGTGGTCACCAACCAGACCACCTGGACAGGTAAGCTATGGGGAGAAGTCATTCCAAGGGAGGATGCTGGTGGGTAGTGGGCCCCATCAGAAGCCAGAGACAGGCTGAGATGATGAGAGGCAAGTATGTATGTCCTCAAGGCTGTTGAATTTAGGAGAATGGCTCTACCCCCAGGGACAGAAACATCCAGTCCTGTTACCTCTCCCCTCTGCCCCCAGGTCGACAGCTGGTCTTTTTCAAGACCGGATGGAGCCAAGTGGTCCCCGATTCCAACAAGACCACATACGTGAAGGCCTCTGACTGACCTGTCTGAGGGCTCTGCTGACCGGCTGACCATCCTTGCCAACTGGGCTTGCCTGTGGAGGGGGTGATATGCCCTAGCAGCGCTGCACATCACCTGGAAACCCCTGCAGACAAGGCTGACATCCCAGACAGTCGGATGTGACCAGGACAAACGTGCAATAATGCAAAAATTTTAAAATGTGAGTTTACCAGCCTAGGTGTGGGACTGCTGGCTCCCAGGTCAGGAATCGTGGCAGGGAGCCCACTGCCCCTCCAGCCCTCTGGGCTGCGAGCGAGGCTCAGGCTAGTCTCCCCATGGGGAGCTGTGCCCCTCACTGGGACAGTTCTGTCAGCAGCCCCGTCACTGTGTTCACGGTGTGAGAATGTAGCCAAAGCCCTGCTGCTGCTGCTGCTGCTGCACGTGCCATGGCGGGGGGGACTGTGTGGGGACAATCGGTCACAGAGTGTTCTCCCAGCTCAGCTCCCGATGGGAGAGATGGCCCCGGGGATGATCTGGGATGCTCCGGGATGTGGTGATTCTGTACCTGGGGAGGCTGTCTCCAGCCTCCCAACAGGGGGTGCCCCCAGGCCAGCCCAGGGGTCAGGGGCGGAGGTGCACCCTTCAGCATGAGCCAAGACTGGGCTGGAGGAGCAGGTTGCGGTTTGAGCCAGGACCTGGGGCGGGGGTGGGGCCGGGGCCTTTCTGCCTCATTTGCTTTCAATGAAAGCCGCAAAAAGCAGCCAAAGCCAGGCCCTCCCCTCTCCTGGAGTTTGTATATCCAGAAGCTTTTGTACTTCTTGTTCATTAAATTGTTTATTTTTGTAAAAAAAAAAAATGAGATCAGTTAATAAAACGATGTTTCACAGCAAAATACTCCTCCCCAGCGACAGTTTCTTGGGCTGTGACTTACTGGTCCACAGTTATGTCCCTGGTGTGTGTTTGTGGGTATGTGTGTGTCATAGCAGATGAAGAGTGAAATCTCAGCGGCCGGCACTGAAGTCACCAAAATGTGTTTTCAGGCCATGGGGCCCACCTCCCCTCTTGACCTTCCACATCATGTCCTGAAAAAAGATAGGAGACTCCCCTTCTCCCAAGGAGGTTCTCATTTTTATACATACCGGTTTCTCATGCATGAAGTTCTAACCCAAGGGAGTGATGTCCGTGTGGTGGGATGCCAGTCACCTCAATTAGCTGGGGGAGAAATTGTCCAGGAAGGAATCGCTGGAGGACCTGAGCAGCCTCCAGGTGGGTGAGCTTCACCTCCACACAGTGTTGTACCTGGTCAGCAACATCACTGCCCCCACAAGGTCATGGTCACCATTCTTTTCCCGAGTCTTTCTCTGAGCAAGAAATATAAGCCGGGCTCAGTGGCTCAGCCTGTAATCCCGCGCCTTTGGGAGGCTGAGGTGAGTGGATTGCCTGAGCCCGCGGGTTCGAGACCCGCCTGGGCAGCAAGAACTCATCTCTACAATAAGTCAAAAAATCAGCCGGGCGTGGTAGCGCCTGCCTGTAATTCCGGCTACTTGGAAGGCTGAGGCGGAAGGATCGCCAGAGCCCAGCAGGTCGAGGCTACGGTGGCCGGGAGCGGCCACTGCACTCCAGTCTGGGTGACAGAGTGAGACTCCAACTCAAAAAAAAGAAAAGAAATATATGGAGAATGGAGAGAAAGGAAAGTCTATGGAAAGACCAGTCTGGACTTTCTAGATTTGGAGAGGGAGGGTCCAGCAGGGACTGTAGGAAAACCCAAAGCAAAAACAAAAGATCTGAAGGTTCAAGATCACACTGAGGTCAGAAAAAGCCTCAATGTGAATACAAGTTTTCTGACTTGAAACCCACATTCTCTCTCCTGTATGCCATTCTACTTCTAGAATATTCTCCAAGGGTGCAAATCTTTGAGGGCTTTAAAAAGAAAAACCAAACTTTAACTTGGAACCCGATTTCTCTTCAACCGATGTGGTTGGTGTATTTCCCATATACAGGATATCCTTGTAGTTCTAAGTGACCAGGGAGCCAATATTAGCTCTGGAGTCAGATGTTGCTCTGACCCTCAAGGTTGCAGCTCTACCACCAACCCACATACCCCACATCTTGCCCCTGGGGTCTGGACTTGGTGACTGAGGGCAAAGGGGCGAATTTGAGCCTCCAGAGAGCCTCTCACCACGACTCAACCCAGCCAAGTCCTGCACACACTCATGGCTCTCAAACTGACTCCCATTCCTCTGAGGAGGACCCCAGCTTCCACCAGCCCTTGGGCCTCTTGCCCTCACTGAACTCTCGCTGCGGCACGTGTCACCTACACCATGCTATCCAGTCCTCAGTTTTTCACTGTCCTTTGTCAGTCTCCCACTGTCATCTAGCCCAGCAGTCCCCAACCTTTTTGGCATCAAGAAACAGTTTCGCGGAAGGCAGTTTTTCCATAGACAGGGTTGGGAGATGGTTTCGGGATAATTCAAGCTCATTACATTTATCGTGCACTTTATTTCTATTATTACATTGTAATATATAATGAATAATTATACAACTCGCCATAATGCAGAATCAGTGGGAGCTCAGCACTTGTTTTTCTGCAACCAGATGGTCCCAACTGGGGGTGATGGGAGACAGTGACACCCGAAGTGTGTTGCTTATGTCCTGTCTACACCATAATTTCGTTTTGGTTGCTATCACTGCAGAAAACCCTGCTTCACAAAGATAGGAAGTTGGAAATGGAAGCAGGTTTTCAGTGCTGATCTGACAGCAGGCGGAACTCAAGCAGTAATACAAGCAAAGTTGCCATAAATACAGATAAAGCTTTGCTTGCTTGCCCACCACTCACCTCCTGTTGTGGGGCCCGGTTCCTAACAGGCCATGGATTGGTACCATGGACCGAGGATCCCTGATCTACCCTACGGGCCTCTGAGGGCAGAAAGAACCACATCCCCAAACTGGACCCAAGAAGGTGCCAGAACTGATGAGAACCTGAGGGGAAGGGGCTGAGGCAAGAAGTCTACGAAGTCTGCACAGTCCAGAGGGACACAAAGACCCAGTTATGATCAGCAGAGGCCCACAGGGCCCAGGAACTGCATGACTCAGTGGGGGGAAAAAAGGCTGTAGAGGAACCAAGCACCGCCTTCCGGACTTCGAGAGGTTTCCAGACGAGGGGGGTTCACCGTCCCGTGGAGAGGGGCAGAGGGAAATGGCACCTCCAGAGGACCAGACTCTGGCCTGAGCCAGGTACAATTATTCCAGTTTTACCTGAAAATTGAAGCCCAGGTTACAGCTGCTAAGTGATTTAGTGAGCATTCAAATACAGCCCTGACTCAAAGGCTGTATGCTCTGTTCCGTGCCATGCGCTGCCTCCCAGAGGAGAGAATTGCAGCAAGAGGAATCTAAGTTAGAATCAAAGAAGCTCCTCCCCCTACTTCAAGTGTGTAGCAAACTAACATAGAAGTCCAATGGACATAGCATGTTTTTAGAAAGACTCACCCATGGGTGGCTGCAGGGATGGCGGGCAGCTTCTTCCTCAGTGTGTGAGCCTCACCTCGGAACCTGTTTCTGGGGACAAAAATGGCCAGACTCAGTCCTGCAGAGGAGAGGGAAGGGAGTTAGAAATGGAGGAGTGATGAATGCCCGAAAAGAAAGGTGCTTGTGAATGAACGCCAAAATTGTCCCTCCCCACCAGACGAGCCTTAACAAGGAGCCACTCATCTCCCTGGAGAGCCTTCTAATCCTGGGTGCATCTTGTCCCCTTTCCTGCAGAAGCCATAACCACATCTCAGCTCCCCTGTTCCCAAAGCCTATGTCCTTTCCGCTCTTCTGCAATGCCAGTAATGCCCAGGTGGAGCGAATGGAAGAAGTACATTCACTAGACTGAAGTCTCATGTGACGTGTGCCAGAGCAGGGAAGCTGGGCCGGGTGGGGCAGGGGGATCCTTTGCAGTGTTGGGGAAGCAGGCAGCAACAACACGGGGGGGGCAATATTGTCTAGTGGTTCCCCCATGTGGCTCTGGAGCTGACCCAAGCTGGGCAGGAATCCCAGACAGTTCTGCCTTTTCCCTCAGAGTGATGACCCAACCTCCGTTTCCTCATCTGCAAATTTCACATTGATAAATCTGCTTCACAGCAGCCAGATGGAAATTGAATGAAATTACGTCTGACCCAGTGTCGGCACATGGTAAATGCGTAGGAAACACTGGCTGTTGCTATCATTGTTATTACTGAGCTGAGCCCTCTTGTTCTTCCATGGCCTGGTCTGGAAGGACATGGAGGTCAACCGGAAAGGACCAAGGCACGGGCCGGACTGCCCCACCCCGCCTCCAGCCCCCCTTCTCCAACAGGGAGCATGACTGCCCTGTTGACTGGGGAGGTGGGGCCCGGCTCTCTGGGTCAGTGCCCTGGGAGTTCAGTGTGTGGTAGACAGGAGGAAGAAGAGGATTAACATGAAAGCAGAAAATGGGATTAGGAGGCCTCAGGATAATGTGCCCACCCCCCCCCCATCCGTGACAACAGCTTCTTGCTTTCACTCCGTGGCTTCTGGGGCCTGGAGCATGTAAGACTTGGTTGCCCCCTGCTCCTGGGGGCAGAGCCAGGAAAGCAGGCTTAGTGCACTGAGAACATGAGACACTCAGTTTGCTAAGAAGAGAGGCTGGGCTGGGGATGGCTGCGGGCCAGGTGTGGGCGCTTTTATGTGCACTCAATCCTCATGGCAACTCTGAGAGGTGGGTGATGACCAAGAGAGGTGAAAAGCCAGGATCCAAGGTTAGGCCATTGCACCCAGAAGCCTATGTTCCTTCCCCTCCACCCAGGGCCACAGCGTCCCCCAGAGCGTGCAGGAGCCATGATCCACTCATGTCTGCCACTTCTCCTGAGAACGATTCCCAGGCCCAAACCTTGCCTTTGATGGGAAGCCCGACAGGCTATTTAAGGAGACCAGGTCTGCCTCTCCGGCATCATCCTTCAAGAATGAGGATATCCCGCACTTTGGGAGGCTGAGGTGAGTGAATTGCCTTAGCCCGCGGGTTCGAGACCCGCCTGGGCAATTTGGCGAGACTTCATCTCTACAATAAATCAAAAAAGTTAGCCAGGCATGGTAGCACGTGCCTGTAGTTCCAGCTACGGAAGGCTGAGGCGGAAGGATTGCCGGAGCCCAGCAGGTCGAGGCTGTGGTGGCTGGGAGCAACCACTGCCCTCCAGTCTGGGTGACTGAGTGAGACTCCAACTCAAAAAAAAAAAAAAAAAAAAATAGGATATTCCCAAACAGCCTAACCTTTAAGGACACCTTTGAGGTCTGTGTGGAAAGTTTTGATTTTTCCCTATTCACTTCTCCATAAATTCCAGCCAATGTCCTCCTCTTAAGTGGAGAAAGTGCCACATCAGTCCCAACTATGTACAAGACGTACAAGAGATAGACCATGATATTTTTTTTTTTTAGTTGGAGCCTCACTCTGTCACTCAGGCTGGAGTGCAATGGCACACTCATGGCCACCCCAGCGTCGATCTAATGGGCTCCAGCAATCCTTCCACCTCAGCCTTTCAAGTAGCCAGAACTACAGGCACGTGCTACCAGGCCCGGATAATTTTTTTATTTATTGTAAAGACTAGGTCTCGCCAAGTTGCCCGGGCTGGTCTCGAACCCTTGGGCTCAGGCAATCCACTCACTTCAGCCTGGGATTACAAGCTGAGCCAACAAGCGCAGCCGATATTTCCTAAAGTTACCCCTCAAGCCCCAAGAGATTCCCACAACTGTGTTTGGGGGGCATTCCTCCTTCCACCCCATCTCATTCAAGGCCACTGCAAGCCTACTTTTTTCAGTATTTTGACCCATTGTCATCCTGGTCCCTCTCACCCGGCCCCCTACATCCTCCCACCCGCCCTCCTGGCCTCATTCCAGCCCCAGAAAGTCT